GAAAGCCTCTTTCTGTTCTACAAATCCTCATTCATTTTTTCCGAATTTTTTGATCTCGCTAGAATTTTCATGTTCATGTTGAGCATTGGCGTAGGGAAAAAGAAATCGCAGCACTTTGGTTTTTCTATGATTTTCTGCAATTTGAAAGAATGTGGGAAACAATTTTATTTGAAAACTAACAGTAAGCTAATGGAATACAGTATTCGTCGCGCTAAGGACATGTCCATTTTCCCCCAAGAAGGTATCGAATTCATCATGCCAAATGCACTTCCTCTCGCAAAAGTTGTTTTGATTCATTGTTGAAGTCTGAAATTGAAACTAGTAAGCTTTTCTTTCTTAATAAGACAGAAAGCGGCATCTTCTTCATAAACGAATCAGATATGGACTTTGCTAAATCTTTTAGCCTCGACTGTAAAAACGATGGGAAAGATCAAGAAAGTTGCTTTCTGTCGATCACGATCTAATTCTTGGCTCGAGAATCCAAGCAAAATTAAAAGACTCGAGAAAACGATGAGTGGGCTTTTGTAGAGCAGGAAAAGAGTTCGGATATTTGCTACATTTGGCTAAAGTTGACTGAGGGAAAAATTGCAACAAAAAAAGAGAGAATTTCAAGAAATGAATTTTTTATTGTTTAGATAAAAATCGAATGTCCCATATTTTGTAACATGCGTCAATTGTTGTGTAGTAATCAATATTGCAACTACTCATTTGTTCTAATGCGCATTCTATCCTACCTGTAAACTTTCCAATTTTCCAAAAACTTCATTTGAAAATACAACAAATACACGGGAGAATGTTATGAAGACTGTATTAAGTAGGATTTTCCTCCAATATGTGCATGGCTTATCCTTACGCATATCCCTTAGACGGGATAAGCCATTGCGTTTCTTCCTATGCCTGGTTTAACGATATCCAATGATTTTGGCTCCCCTTCCTCCATTCGGTATCGTATCACGGAGGCCTAAATACTTTGCGCATAGGTTGCCTTACGGCAGTTTGAAAAAATTGAAATACATTGCATACATTTAGTCCTTGGAAAGTCACAGCAGCAGCGCAGTTTCTAAAATTATCCAGATAAGCAACTGCTGAGACAATGGTCAAGACTTCTTTTGGGTAATTGAGGAACCCTTCATCAACCTGAACAGGGAATTATTCCAATTATTCGGTTAATAGATTATCGATCGATACTCACCAATTGTCGTCCTCGTACGATAAGCACCAAATTGTTTGCTTTACAAAATGATGTGCACTGGGATTCAGTAAAAGTCGGAATTCCATCATCAGTTGTAACGGGATTTGCTTCCAACTTCATCACAGACCATGCAGCTTCCTTAAAACTATCTGTTTCCTCTAAGAACTTTGTTCTAAGTTCTGTGAAAAAAAGTTCTAGCTAGAAAAAAAATTAAAAACTAATGATATTTAATGTATGGGAATTAGAGACCTTTTCTATCTCTTCTTCCGTGCTACTTCTCGCGCCAAATTTCCTTTCGCCCTCTCCTCTTTGTGAATCTTATCGCTAGTATCTCTAGTCCGTTCGCAGTTTTTCTCAATTTTTTCAACCCTTACTTGAAAATCA